CAGGAGCCCCCCCAGTGCCGGCCTGTTCCAGGGCCATTTTCACTTCCCAGTCACCTCCTGGGTTCAGACCTCCCCTTAGTCATGAAGCACACTGGATGGACTTTATGCCACTCACTCTCTCGGCCTACCTCACGAGGTTGTTGTTGTGAGGGGAAAGTGTAGGAAGGGAGAATCAGATACACCACCATAGAGAAGGGGGGGGGACACAAAAATTTGACTTGATATTTATGTGTCTGAATCTAGGTTGCTGGAGAGCTATCTGTGTGGAAGAGCTGCCACCTTTGTAACCTTCTTGTGGGTTTCCCAGCAGAATCGGCCTGGCCAGCGTTTTCGTTTGCCAACCTCCAAGTGGTGGCTGGAGATCTCCTGGGATTACAACTGCTCTCCAGGTGACAGAGATCAGTTCACCTGGAGTAAAGGGCCGCTTTGAAAGGTGGATTCTATGGCGTTGTAACCCATCGAAGTCCCTCCCCTTCCCAAACCATGCCCTCCCAGGCTCCACCCCCCAAATCCGTACCTGGCAACCCTACCAGTGTTACAGGCAGAACGCTGGACCTTTGGGCTTAGTATAACCCAGCAAGGCTCTTATATTATTACGAGTGTTGTACTTCGGAAGGAGTGTTCTCGTGTCTCTCCTCAGATGTGGGCTCACTCTAAGTCTTTAGGAAATGAGTGGGCTTTGGACTCATTTCTCCCATCAGTAAAATGGGCACAATAATATCTTATATAAGTGGCTGTGAATTATTTATTTATTTATTATTTTATTGGATTTCTATCCTGCCCTCCCCGCAAATGGGCTCAGGGTGGCTTACATTTGGAAAGAGAAAGAAGAAAGAAGAAGAAAGAGGCTGGGTTTGTTTTGTGACAAAGCTCCATGGCTGGAGTAGAAGAACATTTTCCACAGTGGGCAGTTTTGCAGGCACTCTTGACTGCAGGAGTTTCTGAAGGATAAGCCAAGAGGTCCCAAAGATCAGATCTGAGAATCCCAACAGAAGCACAGAGAAAAATGCATAGCCCATCATTAGCAAGGAAACCTGATCTCATCTGCACCCCAGTACAGGTCCTAGTGCTCATTCTTGGCTTCCAAGGAGGCTTCTCCACTTGGCCCGTTCTGTGATCTTCAAGTTAAGACGCAGGTTTCCAATATAACTTTTACTAATTGTGTCTTTGATTTCATTCTTAATTGGCTTTCTGGTTTTGTTCCAGTCCTTTTTGCCCAGGGGTAATTTGGATTTCATTTTTTTTTAAAAGCATTGGCTTTATGTGTCAGATCAAAGTTCAGATGGGGTGACTGGGGAAAGGGTTTTTTATATTGCAATTGCTGATCCACCTTTCCAAAACTAATGCTTGCAAGGGAAGTTCAGATAGGGTAGTGACTAGAGATAGGCAAGAATGGCATTTTTGCATTTCAGTTCGTGGTTTATGGCTGAACCATGAACCAAACCACAAACTGATATGCTGGTTTGTGAACTGAACTGGTTCATTTCCATTTGTGAGCCATTTAAAATTTAAGCCACTGCTTTCTGCTGCCCGCAAAAAATTGCAGGGAGCAGAAAGCAGTTTCATGAAAACCAGAAAACAGGGGTTTAAACGGCTCAGAGCCATTTAAACCCCTGCTTTCTGCTCATCACAAACTGTGTCAAAATTTGTGAAAGTTTGTGGTGGTTCTTCAGTTTGCGAACATCACTTTGCAAACTACAAACCAGCCAAAATTCATGATGAACTTTAGTTCATGAGTGGATTTGTGCCCATCCCTAGTAGTGACTAAAATGTTCAATGAGGCAGAAGGACCCCAATTTAGATATGACTTTTACTACACGCTCTTTTGGTGACGCTTGGCATTCCTCAGTCTCACTATCTGCAACATGGGGTTAGCAATACCTGTTGTAATCCATATGCCAGGGTAATATTCGTGAACTGCTTTAAATGTTAAGAGCTCTAGGAAGACTAAGTATGTACATACTTAGGAAATTGCTGTCATTGCAACCTACGTATGGTGACACCAGCAAGGGGCTTTCAAGAGAAGTGAGAAGCAGAGGTGGATTGTCATTGCCTTCTTCTGCAGAGTCTTCCTTGGTGGTCTACCATCCAAGTACCAACCCTGCTTAGCTTTGTACCATATCATTCCACAGTCCCATAAAGGATAAGTAGCTGAATTTAAATCTTTACCTCTCCATATGTGCTATTTAAGTGGTAAAAACTGTTCCATTTAAGACCAAAAGATGCTTCCCTACAAAAGAGAGGCAGCTGATAAATTGCTCAAGTGGCAGATCTGTTGTACATAAGCCCTAGCTGTGTTTTAGATTAACTCTCATTACTATGGATGGGCATGAACCGGTCCATGAGCCAAAATTTGGCACAAACCTGGCCCAGTTCAGAGCCTCTGAACCAATGGATTTTCCTACAGTTCGGCTGTTCAGGCCATTTAAACCTGACATCTGAGCAGTGTGGGTCCGCAGCTGACATGTTAGGTTTAAAGGGCTGTGAGCCATTTCACCGGTCAGTTTTGCTTGAAAGCAGGGGGAAGAAAAATGGACTGGTGAAATGACTGCCAGCTGATGGGCACACGTACCCCGCTGTTAGATTTAAATGGCTGCGAGCCATTTCACCAGCCAGTTTCACTTCTCTCTGATTAGAAGTGAGGGGAAGCTAAACCAACTGGTGAAATGGCTACCAGCCATTTAAACTGAACAGCAGGGTGGGTCTGCCCATCAGCTGTTAGGTTTAAATGACTGCCAGCCATTTAACTCTTTCCAGGGGATCCCTTCCCAGGGGGATCCGAACTGGTCAGTTGAAGGCATTTTTTGTTCAGTTCATGGTTCAGTTCAGGGGCCACCCCGAACCAAACCAGAATTTTTAGGTTCGCGCCCACCCCTATTCATCACGCCATACCTGTCAGTCATTTGTTCTGTAAAGAAAGAGAGAAGCAAGCTCTCTTAGAGCCTCATTTATGCAAATTAACATTTGTGCATGCAAGGGAACAAACTAATCCATTCTTGAGCAATCTTTTGTATTGGCATGAAAGAGGTATAGTTTCTTGAAATGTTTCAGACCAAGGAAGGGAAGCAAAATGTGGTTTACCCTCTTGAAGCTGTCCATGCTTGTAGCTGCCACCACCTCCTGTAGCAGAGAATTCCTTGTGTTAATGTCTTGCTACATAAAAAGGATGGTATAAAGCAGGGGTGGTTAAACTGCGGCTCAGGAGCCACATGTGGCTCTTTCACACATATTGTGTGGCTCCCGGCAAGGCAGCTGGGGAAGTGAAGGGGAGGCATACTTTTTCTCCCTCCCTCCCATCTATTTGCTTTCTTTGTTTCTCTCTCTCTTTCTTTCCACCTCTTTCATTTTTTCTTTCCACCTCTCTCTTTTTGAGAGCCAGTTTGGTGTAGTGGTTAAGCATGCGGACTCTAATCTGGGAGAACCAGGTTTGATTCCCCACTTGCACCTGCTGATGGCACCTTGGGTCAGTCACAAGCTCTGGCACAGCTGTCCTTGAAAAAGAGCAGTTTGTGTCAGAGTTCTCTCAGCCCCACCCACCTCACAGGGTGTCTGTTGTGGGGAGGGGAAGGGAAAGGAGTTTGTAAGCCGCTCTGAGACTCCAAGTGAAGGGCAGGGCATAAATCCAATCTCCTCCTCCTCCTCTTCTTCTTCTTCTTCAGCAAAGGCTGGCCTGAATCCCCACTTTAAGTTTAGGGTTACCAACCTCCAGGTGGTGACTGGAGATCTCCCTCTATTACAGTTGGTCTCCAGGCAACAGAGATCAACTCACCTGGAGAAAATGGCCACTTTGGAAGGTGGACTCTGTGACATTCTACCCCACTGCAGTCCCTCCCCTCCCCAAACCCCGCCCTCCTCAGGGTTCACTTCCAAAATCTCCAGGTATTTCCCAATCCAGAGCTGGGAGCCCTACTTGAGCTCCTTGGAGGAAGGATGGAAAAGGCATATCTCTGCAAGAGAAGGAGTTAGAGACTGGGAAACCTTATATTCTAATAGCCACCTATGGTCCCCATTTGCAGATAGCTAAATCTGTGGATTGGGGCGGCACAGAGGCTAAACCTTTTCCAGCAAACTTGGGGGTAGTCCCCCGGTTTGCAGAAAAATCTGAATTAAAAAAAAAAATGCACAGGAGGATTTAAATCCTGCCCAAAGTAAAGTAGCATTCTCTGCTCTTTCCTTCTTACCTGTGTGGTGGAGCCTGGGAGCCTGTGGGCCCTGCCGTAGCAGTGGTGGATGCCAGGAGCTGTTCTGGGCCCAGGCAGATACTGGAAGCCTTCGGGGCCCTGCCGCTGCCACTGTGGACTCTGGGAGCTGTTCCAGGCTTGGAGTGGCTCCCAGACACTCCCCACCACCACCACCACCATGAGTTTTGCAGGCCCCTACTTGCCAGTCTCTAATTGGGACAGCTGGGAATTCAGAGAACCTGTGACACATATTGTTACAGTGTTATATCAATATAGCAATATTTCATTGCCAGTTGTTTTAAAAACTGAAAAAGCCCTGGTGGCCCAGGGAACGGAGGATGGCTGCTGTACGGGAACTGTGAGGAGACCTGCCGTGTAGAAGTCCCATTGCTGCTGCTCCATATCAGGTGCCACACTGGCAAAGGGGAAACCAAGCAAGCTTCTCTCCATCTGGAAACCTCCTCTGTAACTGAAGTCCATATGGGAGGCTGGGCCCTGGGACCTGTCTCATCATTCATGAAGGGTTAACAACTCTGGTTTACCACTCAGTTCTTTGTGATTTTGATTATAAATGTTGGTGAAATTACCATTTCATAGCATTTGAAGAAAGTGACTCACAAAAGCTGGGTCTGGAATAAACTTGGCTAGTCTTAATGGTGCTGCTTGATTTCTGTTTTACTTTCCTTTTTCTTTTCTTTTTTGAGCTGCATTTAGGACTGGGCACTCTTAAGACATGACCATTCAAAATATTATGAAAGTTGAAACATTCCAGCTTGGGTTTTGTTTTGTTTGTTCTGTTTTGTTTGCTATTCACTCCAGGAGACACTACTGTTCGGTGTGAACAACTGGATCTGCTTCAGGATTGGCTGTCTGATTTCAGAAAATCTACCTCCTCCTCCAGTACAGCCAATCCAGAGGAGCTGGTGGCATTTGATGTACTCTGCGGGGATCTGAACTTCGACAATTGCTCATCAGGTGAGATGAAGTGCTTCCCTCTCGATTTCCCCTTCCCCCTCAAGAAATCCCTTTTGACATTGACATAGTCAGGTTACAGTGCCTTCTGGGGACGCCATTTCTGGCTTAGTGAATTCCTGGAGATTTGGGGGGGGCAGTTGCTGGGGAGGCAGAGTTTGGGGAGGGGAGGGAACCCAGCGTGGATGTGATACCATAGAGTCCACCCTCCGAAGCTGCCATTTCCTCCAATGGAACTGATCCCTGCAGTGTGGAGATCAGCTGTAATTTCGGGAAGACTTCAGGCCCTAGGACTTCCAGCTCTGGGTTGGGAAATACCTAGAGATTTTGGGGGTGGAGCCTGGGGACAGCAGTTTGGTGTAGGGGTTAGGAGTGGTGGACTCTGATCTGGAGAACCGGGTGTCATTCCCCACTCTTCCACATGCAGCCAGCTGGGTGACCTTGTGTCAGTCACAGTTCTCTCAGAGCTTTTTCTGTCAAGAGCAGTTCTCTCAGAGCTCTCTCAGCCCCACCTACCTTTTTTTTAACAATTTATTTTTTCATTTTTAAGGTAACATCATATATTTCTTCCATTCTCAAACATTCCATGACATATTGTAGCCTTCCTCTCTTATCTTAAACATTTTTCTATCTTAAACTATCGTTCGTTTATCCAGTTTTAATTCCATCTCATCTTCAATCGTTCTTGTACACAGTCATTTACTTTCTAATACATCATCTGTCATTTTTGCTAGCCTATTTCAATTCTATTCTATCTTTTTCATCTTTAGCCAGTCATAAATTATTTTCCATCTATCCCAGAAGCAGTCTTGAGATTTGTTTTGTAATTCCACGTTCAATTTATCCATTTCTGCTATTTCTAGGATTTTGTATTTAAGTTCCTTTATCGATGGTATACCTTTCGTTTTCCAGCGCTTTGCTATTAATATTCTAGCTGCTGTTAAGATATAACAAGTTATCCGGTTGTGGTCTACAGCCTCACCTACCTTACAGGGTGTCTGTTGTGGGGAGAGGAAGGGAAGGAGATTGTAAACCGCTCTGAGTGAAGGACAGGGTATAAATTCAACCTTCTTCTTCTTCTTCTTCTTCCAGTGTTTGAGGAGGGGAGGGGCCTCAGTAGGTTATAATGCCATATCCAACCTCCAAAGCAGCCATTTCCTCCAGGGAAACTGATGTTGGCCATCTGGAGATCAACTGTAATAGTGGGGGATCTGCAGGAGCCACCTGGAGGTTGGCAACCCTATAAATTCCCTTTTATTTCCCAAACCTCTCAGGTGGCCAGCATGAATCCTCAAAGCTCTTCTTGTTACAAAGTCCCGTTTTCTTGCCATGTCCTTGGATGCCTGGTTTTATTGTTCTGCTCATATAACCGGTTTCATTATTGCGCTGCTGGTTTTACTCAACGGTATTATCTATAGTTTGATTGAATTAGATCTTTACTGCCTGGGTTATTGCATATTCGTTTTGCGACTGTTAGGCAGCTAGGGTGTTTGTTTGGGGAAAACGGGGACGTACGTTTCTTAAATCAATATGTTAAATAACTACCTGAATGCAAATGTAGACACTGCGCTATGCAGAAGCGGGGCCTAGAGAGGTGACTAAATCGGAGTCACCTTCACATGATTTTATTTTTAACCGAAGACCCATTGGGGTTGTTCTCTTTTCTTTAAGAGAGAGAGAGAGAGAGACATAAATATATTACTTTTGTTGCCTTGACAATAGACAGTGACAAATGATATCATTAGCACCCTTTATGCCCACTCATGGGATTCCCGAGGGAGAACTGAAAAGAAATGCTATAGTTTTATCTGGCTCCAAGTGCAGCAACGACAAAGGGAGGCTTTTGGCTTTCAGTGTTTTATATACTCTTACCTTCACAACAGATTATAGTAGACAGCTTGGCCAAGCAGTGGGTTGGATCTAACCAGTTTTCTGCTGATGGAAGAAGGAGGCAGAGGTACCCTTTGACCACCTAAACTGAGGACCATGGAACGCTGGGTGGACAACAGCCATGTAGGACTGGGAGCTGTGATACGGAGGGAGGGGAACTAGGCGAGAGGGAGAGAAGAGGCTGGCTCAGACTTGGAGGCTGAGCTTAGATTTCCTCAAATTTAGAGGCTGAACACACAGTTGGCTCCAAGACACTTCCATACCTAGGTGAAAAATCCACAGCCCTCTATTCACGCACAGCATGAGCAGCAGTGAAATAAATCACTGAACCTTTCAGAGCTGCCTAGGGCACCTGCTTTGTCCTACCTACCTTGGGTGGACATTCACATTGGAGCCATTTATTTATATACTTACTTACTTACTTACTTCTGGTGAAATAACAAACCCACAAATCTCTTCCCCACCCTAAAAAGATGCCTGCTGTTCAAAGCCTTGTTGAACAGGGAGTCCCTGCAGCACCTCCCACAGATCTCCAAGGAGGCAGCCCACCTCACCTCTTCACAGAGCTCCTTCCACAGAACTGGAGCCACAAAGGAAAAGGCCCGGGCACTGCCAGACTGGTGGGATAGCCAACAGGTAGTCAACCATAGACTGGAGATGGCCCTTCTTTGAACAAGAGGGAAAGAACAAATCTCTGAAAAGACACAGGTGGCATTTTTGTAGCCCCTAGGACCAGTCATCGACTGGAACGGCTCCCTTTCCATGGCCCCTTCATGCCTTTTGTCCTCCCAAGTTCAGCCCTTCGGGATGCCCCTCTTCCTTTCTTCACCTCCAGTTGGTTTGCTTCTCCTTTGACTTCTCTCTTCTCCTCCCTGTAGATGACAAGCTGGAGCAGCAGCACTCCTTGTTTACACGCTACAAGGACCCATGCCGCCTTGGTCCTGGGGAGGACAAATCATGGGCCATTGGTAAGGTGTGGGACAGCCGGCAGCCTCAGGGTCGATAGGGTTGCCAACTCTGCCTTGGCAAATGCTGGGAGATATTGAGGGCAGGGCCTGGGGAGGGTGGAGTTTGGGAAGGATGTGACACCACTTCTGGGTGGTAAAGACCATTGACAAGGGATGGAATTCCTAGGGCATTGCTATGGAGGCAGTTTTCCTGCCATTTTTTTTCTCCCACTCCTCATTTTCTCAAGGTTGGGGGATTGGGGCCAAGGGCAGGCGTTGGCTTACCATGGACAGGCAAATATCAATTCTACTTGTGAAGGAAGCCTGAGAGCCAGCAGGTGATACCTGTTGAAGAATTCCAGATGACATGCCAGCAAGTTCCTGTGGTGCAAGACACTAATGTGTCAGGTTAGCTGTAGGTCACCCACACTGAGCCCATGGCTCATTCTCTAGTGGGCCAGAAGAGATGGAGAAAGAAGCATGAGCACCTTTGAACCTCCTTCATGTGCTTTGGGTGCAGATCAGGATGCAGAAGGGGGTCATTTTTAAAGCAAAGGTAGGAAGATTCAAACTATGACCCCACATCAGAAGAACAGGATGCACTGCCACAGGTAATCTGGATACCTCTCTTCTTTAGATGAGGCAGCCTTCCTCGTTTGCTGAATTAACATGTTATGTGACAAACACATGTTGGTGTCCTTGATAAGCTAATTAAGTGATAAATATCCATTATATGGCAAGATAATCCATTATTCTGCCATATATTTATTGCAGATATTGGCTTATTGGCTATTTAGGATGGCAGGAGCTATTTTATTGTGTTGTGCTGCTTACTCTGAAGTACATTGTATTGTTATTATTAAAGTGTACTTTTGGTTACTCTGTTTACATATTTTTTTAAAGCTTGCTCACTCAACTTTTTGTTTGCTTGTTTGTTACCTAATCTGTTTCTTCCAGTTGGGTTTTGTTGTCACCATCCCCTTTTGGTGGCTCAGTCCATTACCATCTGCTCCAGACTCTGTCATTTCATTCCCACCCTGATCCACCTCATGAATAACCAAGCCCCTTGAAGGCTTAGTGTGGGGTCCGGGGCTCAGGACCATCCAAGTCATCCTCACAATGTTGACCTTAGCAGTGTGGGAATACCCTCAGGATGGAAGAGGGGCTCCTCCTTACTATGATATAGCTTTGGGGGCTTGGGCCTTTGAGTTTGAAAGTGAACACACAAGCCATCTGAGGTCTGGAAGGAAGAAAGATCTAAGCCCACTGAGCTGACCTGAGGAGAAAGGGTGATTCCTTTCCCCAGGGGTCATTTCGTAGAAAAAGAGGTGCAGGAGCTCATTAGCATAGCTCATTAGCATAACTTATTTGCATATGCCACACCTCATGACATCACCAGAAGTGTGTCAGAAGGCTCCACTGGACTGTTTTGGATTGCTAGCTATGGGGGGGGGGGCGGGCAGGTCTTTCCTGGGAGAGGAGGGAGAGCTTGTACCTGAATAAAACTTGGTCTTAAAGGTGCCACTGGACTGTTTTGGACTGGGGGGCTCTGCAGCTTACCTGGCTGCTTCTTGCTCTGACTGAAGGCTGCTGGGAGCAGGGGGTGGGGCTTGTTGCATATACCCGCCCCCTGGGCTCTTTACTGCCGGAGCTCTGCTCCTGTGCACTCCTACAGGAAATGACCCCTGCCTTTCCCACAGCTTTCTCTTGCCTTCCTTCTCATTTTCTGTCCAGAACAGCCTACTGCAACCACGGCACCTAGCACCAAACGGCTCTCTGCAGGAAGTGCGCACTGGAACAGGAAGGGCTGTTTCAGCAGCCCATAATGGCAATTAAATAGTTTCAAGCTGTGATTTTCAAGGACCATTATCAGCATGTTACACATTTCTGAAGAAGTCAGAAGTGCTCAACTGACGCTGTGCACAGCCATCACATCTCCCTTACACACTACTACATAGATGCCCCTCATGAGAGATGGGATGGGATTGAAGAAGAAGCTCTCTGCAACCTCCCTTTGAAATGTATAATCACTGATTTCCCTCCCACACACCTATAAGAGCTCTTCTTCCGTAGTATTTCGGTCCCAGATGTAACAGCCATGCCTGTATCTGTGTGAAATGCAGTTTTAAAGACAGAAAGATCATCTTGGTTTCATAAACCTAACTTCATGGCAAACAAGTTAGCAGATACAAATAGAAAAAGAAACACATCTCATGAAAGAAATGCTGGGAACAAGAAGTCTGAGGTTTGAGTGAAAGGCTCAGGTGATATCTGCACTATAAATCAAATTAAATAAATAAATAAACTTTAGCAGATGTAGCTGTCATTTCTTCCTAGGTTTCTCTGAGGAAGCCAGAACAAACTGTAACCTCAAATACACCCTGCGCAGTGGTTGCTGGATCCAAGAATGTTTCTAGAGAAATTGTGCCACAACCCAGTTCCAGGAGAAGGCAGAGTGGGTCTGTAATTTGAAAACCGATATCATCAATATCCACACGTGATCCCAGGCAGCTACTTTTAAACTGTTTGATACAGAGTGGGGTTAAGAAAAGAACCACCAATTTTGCTGCTGCATGCTGAAGTAGTATGTTATGCAAAGCTTCAGTTTGTGCAACAGCTGCACCCATTTTAGGACCAAACTTTTTGCCAGTTTGGTATGAGAGCCAGTTTGGCGTAGTGGTTAAGTGCACGGACTCTAATCTGGGAGAACCAGGTTTGATTCCCCACTCCTCCACTTGCAGCTGCTGGATGACCTTGGGCAAGCCATAGTTCTGTCAGAGCTGTTCCCTCAAGGACAGTTCTGGAAACAGCTCTCTCAGCCCCACCTACCACTGGATATCTGTTGTGGGGAGGGGAAGGAGAAGGTGTTTGTAAACCACTCCGAGTGAAGGGCGGGGTATAAATCCATTCTCTTCCCTCTTCTCTCTTCAAAATTATACTTCTGTTATCCATGCTATGGTAATGTCTGGCCTTGACTACTGTAATGTGCTTTACATAGGGCTGCCTTTGAAGACTGTTTGGAAATTTCAGCTAGCCTGGAATAAAGCTGCTAGACTGTTGACTGCAGCAAATCCTTTAGAACTTTTTTCCCTAATTCTGAAACACTGGGAGCCAATTAAGCTTTATTTCTGGGCACAATTTAATGTGCCAGTAGTGATCAGACCTAAATGATCTGGGCCCAAGAGATCTCAAGGACTGCATCTGCCTATCCATTAAGAACTTCCGCTGAGGTGAGCTGGGTAGCCACATCAGACAGGAGCTTTTCTGCGATGGCACCCCAGTTAGGGAACTCCCTTCCCATTCAAATCCACACCATCCTCTTTTAGGTGCTATGGGGAATCCCATCTATCATGTTCACCTTTGCCTTTAACTGCTAAGTGGGGTATAGCTCCTGACACTACATTCTGAGTTTTGATGATGGTCTTATCTGATTGCTTTATTGTTTACTTGACTTGTTACTTTAATCGTTTTACCTTGTAAGGCACCTTGAAAAAATTGTGTTGAGATTTTTAAAATATGCAAACAACAAACATTAAATTGGTGTGCCATTGTGCTCGATTTCTGCCCCATCGTTATGCTTCAGAAACATACTATCATGCAAGACTGAAATTATTCCGAGCAATGAGTGAACTCCCATCGAAATGCCTAGGGCCTAAATAACATGGTATTGCAGAAGACACACAGATCTCACACCCCTGTGCAAACAAACAAACAAACTATGCAATGCAGAGTCAGCCATACAATACAGGTTGGAAGAGACTGACCAGAGGATCACATGTCCCTTTCTGTTCACAGGAACCTTGTTAGATCCAGAAGGACTGTATGATGAAGAAGTCTGCACCCCAGATAACCTACAGAAGTGCGTATAGCCTTTCCCCCCTCTTTTAAATACAGCTGCTTTGAATTCTGCAATAATTGACACCTCCAAAGAAACATGTTTCAAGCCTCACAAGCCTCACAATTTAATTCAGATGTCAAGAGGACACAAGAACATGAACACTGTCTTGCTGGATGTCCACCACATATTCCCATTTCCCACCATGGCCAGCTTGTAGCAATCTCTTGGCTGCTCTGATGCCTGTACAGTTCACATTTTACTTGCTTTTGTGATGGAGGAATAATGCATGTGGGGCATATGAAAGTATATGCATAAAGGTTGGAATAGATACATTTCATGAATGGAGCAGGAGTGCTTGAGAACATAAGAAGAGCCTCGGTGGATCTGACCAGTGATCCATCTAATCCAGCATCCTGTTTCACGCACAGAGGCCAACTAGTAGCACTTCACAGCCAACAAACTGGACATAGAGTCCAAGACCTTCCCCTGATGTTGCCTCCTAATACTGGTGTTCAGAGGTTTAATACCTCTGGATATGAAGACTCCTTTGGATGCAAATCCAAGACTCACTTCCGCATGCCACTATATCTAGGGGCTTGAACAGACATGACAAAGATCACACATTCTGTTCTGCCTATAAACAGCATGCAGCCTCAATTTGCCTTGAGGCCATGCAGGGAAAGAATAGAATAATAGAATTATAGAGTTGGAAGGGGCCATACAGACCATCTAGTCCAACCCCTTGTCCACATGTAAATTAAACCTTGGGCTCCCTGCTTTCTTTTTAGCATTGGGGGTGTGTGTTTTGCAGTCTAAATTTTATGGGCTGAACAAGGTACATGATCTTTGCTTCATTTGTTTGAGTTTAGAATGTACATTTTGGGCACTGTATGAACATGCTGTTAGGGAACAATCCTAAGCGGGTCTAGTCAGAAGTAAGTCCCATGTTATTCAAGGGGGCTTACTACCAGGAAAGTATTCTGAGGTTTGCAGCCTTCATTTCTCAAAGGCTGGCATGCCACCGACCTATTCCAAAGACATGACAGTAATAGTCTAAACCTTGAGTATCTGCAGAATATTAAAAAGAAAGCCCTTGTCTGAGATTTCAAAGCATAGTATCTACTAGCAATTCCAGACACCAAATTCACTTTGCCTTGAAAGGCCATTCACAAATGATAAATCGTCTAGCAGCTTTGAAATGATATTGTCGTCTTTAGAATGGACTGAGGAGGAGTCTGCAAATACCTGTTTGAGTTCCTCATGTCATGGCTCAACAAGAGTAGGTTTAAAATAAGCCCTTATGGGAATCCTTCAACAATAAAATTTGACTAAAATCTGGAAACTAATTTATCACCCTGTTTACTGGAGCCCAGTAAATTAGACTAATGTTTAGACTTCCACCTCCAGTCTCTAGAAACCTGTTAATAAAGTTAAAGAGATCACAGTGTTAAATACATCAATGAGAGTGACTACATGGGCCTGTTTCCCTATTAAACCGATCAATAAATGCTATTGCTACTTAGTTACAAATGTTCCTCCCACACCCCTGCTTGATTAATAGGGTGCTGTTGGGACAAATATTGGAAGAGGCTGATTGCAAACTTAGACCAGCTGTGAGACTCCAGTCCTTGCACTAAAAGCGGAGTCTACACGGGTTCGTGCGCTAAGCCCATGGAAGATGTTCTGTTCCATTAATGCAGAACAAGAATCTACCTGTTGCACTTATTGGAAACTCAACATGTGTGGGTGCTTTCTCATGTGCATAACTGGAGAACATGCAAATCAGGTTTCATAAGGACTTGAATGGCTGCTGTACCAGAGGGGGGGGGGAAATCCATATCTTGCCCAGTTCACACAAGATGGCGAATGCATGCATCTCTAGTGGCAGGCTCCCAGTTTGTGCAGACCAAATGGAACAGAATGTCGGCAGCATCTACCATTCAAGTGTTATTGTATAACCAAAAGAAGTCACATGATAACCATCTAACCATCAGATAATAGAAGAAGAATTGGTTTTTAGTATACTTCACTGTTCTCTATCCTAAGGAGTCTCAAAGCAGCTTATAATTGCCTTCCTCTCTCCACCACAGACACCTTGTGAGGTAAGTGGGGCTGAGAGAGTTCTGAAAGAACTGTGACTGGCCCAAAGTCACCCAGCTGGCTTCATGTGGAGAAGTGGGGAATCAAACCCGGTTCTCCAAATTACAGTCCGCTGCTCTTAACTACTACACCATGCTGGGTCTCAATCTTTGTCATCAAAGGTCAATCCCTCCACTTCTGTATGTTGGCCACCAAAGTGGATGTTGGTATGACAGAAGTGGACTTCTGAGATACATTATGAAAGGGAAGCTACTTTTCAAGAATTATTTTGCATACACTGCTAGCATCAATTGTTTTCAGAAACTTCCTGCTAACCTTTGCTGTAATTAAACCTGGCTATTAGCAAGCGGGTTATGGCTGATTTTTTTCCCCCTGAGCATCATCGTGATCTGGTTGGGAAAGGGTTACGTTTAGGTTTTAGAAGCCTCTCTCACACAGAATCCACTGTTCTCTTTCCCAGGCAAATTTGGGGATTCTTTGTTCATCTAGGGAATCTGAGAATTCTTTGTCCATCCCTTCCAGAATTTGCTGTTTACCTCCTGAGATATGGGAAAGAAAGAGAAGTTTCATTTCTAGTGACACAGGCGTGAGACTTAGTAGTGAGGTGTAGCATCCTGTAATACTACCCAGAATCCTTGGCATTACATAGAAAACAAAGGGTTAGTTCATCCATGAAGTGAGATAAGATGGTCACCTCAGGTGGTGGGCTGAGGAGGGAGGCAGTCTCCTCCCTCACAGTCACATTTGCCTGTTTCTTGTATCCAGAGGGACTGATACTTCCTCTCTGCAACCAAAATTGTGACCGAACTCCCACGAGAATTCAGGAAGCCCTTGAGGGAAAGTATGGCTTGCCACGCTGGCTTCAGGGAGGCTTGAGGGAGTGAAGGGCCAAGAAGAGGCTGGCTCCTGGAGGGGGGGCAGGATAGGTGCAGGGAAATGGGAGGTGGCTTAGCCGACAAAATCCCTCGAGCTGCCATTGAGAAAATGCCACTGCCTTTTTGAGTTAACACAGTGCTGAAAATGCTGTGAAACACACTGAGCATGCCTCAACACTTTGGTCTGCTTTTTAAATTTAATTTGCTGTCATGAAGTGGAGATAATCCACCAGTGTTTCAGGAAGGGTCAATTCCATCCTGAACCAAAATTTTACATTGCATTATGGGTGGAGGAGGGGAAAGAATGAAGATTTCACAAGTTTTCTGAAGCGGGCTGAAGAATGGCCTGTCAATGGTGCTACTGAAGACAATTAATTAGAAAGAGTCCCCATCTTAACCATCCTTTGAACAAAAAGGAAAAACCTCCCAATCCAGCCTCTCTTGGTTAATTAAAAATGCCCCTCTGGAGGGGACCATTGATAATTATTGATTCCCTGATACTGAAATGAATCAGAAGCAGCCAACAAGCGATAGTTGATTAGGTCTCCAGAGATAAGACTGCCATACATGTTAAAAACCGGATATTACATTTGAAAGGCTGATAAATAGCCTGCCTTGAAGTAAGAGTCAATTATGGCCATTATTTTCAGGTATTGTTGATTTTCTTGAGAAATGAGCCATAAGACTTCAGTCATTAAGGATTGGATTCTGTGACTCCTTCCTACCAAGCTTTCCTCCAACATAGAAAGACTTTCTCCATCAAAATGTTTCCTCCATCCAAAACAAACAAACAAACCCTTTCCATTGGAGGAAGTCTGTCTTCCCTAAAGGAACACTTCCTTTAGAAGAACATCATAGGATTCAACTTAGTGAGACAAAGTCATAGAACCCTTTCCATTGGAGGAAGTCTGTCTTCCTTAAAGGAACACTTCCTTTAGGAGAACATAGTGAAACAAAGTCATAGGGTTCAACTGGTTTGGTGTAGCAATTAGGAGTGTGGAATATAATCTGGAAGAACTGGGTTTGAGTCTCCATGCCTCCACATGCAGCTGCTGGTGTGACCCTGAGTCAGTTACAAGTTCTTTCCGAGCTGTTCTCTTAAGAGGAGTCCTCAAAAGAGCTCTCTCAGCCCCACCTACCTCACAGGGTGTGGAGGGGAGGGGAAGGGAAAGGAGATTGTAAACCACTCTGAGATTACTTCAGGTAGTGAAGGGTGGGGTATAAATCCAATCTCCTCCTCCTCCTCCTCCTCCTTCTCTAGATCAAACCAGCTGTTCCACTAGTGAAAAGGGAGGAAGGGGTCCACTTTGTCCACTAAGAAGTTTATGGGATTTGCACCAACAAAAGCCATGTAGGATGGAGGCTGTAATGTGGGGGATGGATTAGCTGAGAGAGAGGAAAGCCGATTGGATTCAACCATATGACTCCTTTTGGAAAAAAATGAAGTCTCAATCTCTGATGAATTATAGCACAGAAGAATTATTTCTCATATCTGTTTCGCTTGTATCCTTACGTTATGCATCAGATCCAAATAATGCTCCTGATTAGGCAAAATAAAAAATCATTTGAAAAATTAAACCCTCCTCCAGCCATTTATCTTGACGTTTCAGAAATCTTCAGTGCCAGGACCCTAGGTGCTCATTTGAAAGCAACCAGCATTAAGCTCCGAAGCCCTGGCTTTGGAGTGCAGAGGACTGGGCTGCCCATCAGTCAATTCTTTCACAATCCTGTATGGCTTTGCCAGGATTCAGTGCTTCACAACAATTCTTCATGGTTTTTATTTATTTTATTTATTGACTTAATTAATAACCCGCCTTTGTCCTCAGTGGGGACCCGAAGTGACTTGCCTCACTCTCCTCTCTTCCATTGTATCCTCACAACAACTCTGTGGGGTAGGTTAGGCTGAGAGTTTGTGTAACTGGCCAAAGGACACCCAATGAGCTCCACAGCAGAGTGCGGATTCAAACCTGGGTCTCCCAGATCTTAGCCCAGCACTCTAATCATTTCACCATACTGGCTCTCAGTGTTGGGAGATGGCCATGGCAGAGCACATGCTTTGCATGCAGAAAGTTCAGGCCTCCACATGAAGCCAGCTGGGTGACCTTGGGTCACTCACAGCTCTCTCAGAGCTCTCAGCCCCACCAGCCTCACAGGGTGTCTGTTGTGGGGAAAGGAAGGGAAGGTGATTGTAAGCTGCTCTGAGACGCCTTTGGGTAGTGAAGAGCAGGGTATAAAACCAACTCTTCTCTCTTCTCTTAGCATGTCTGGTTAAAGAGTCTGAACTAGCAGATGCTCACAAAGATCTCTGGAGAGCTGCTACCAGACAGGAGAGACAATACTGGCCCTGATGGATCAATTATCTGATTCAGTATAAGGCACCTTCAATAAGGGGCTCTGACTTAGTGACAGAGCATCTGCTTCTGCATGAAGATGTTCCCAACTTCAATCCCTGGCATCCCCAGATGAAGAATCTCAAAATAGCAGAGGCTCACAAAGATTTTTGGAGTGGACAGCATAGAGATAGACAATCTGACTTGATGCAAGGCCATTTCAGATGCTAGCTGGGGGGAAATAGTATTTATAAAATGTAAACCTAAAAAACAGAGACCGATTTCCCACAAGCCACTGCTCCACCCTCGCTCTTCCCTTTACCTCGATCGTATGTGTCAATTTCCTACTATTTGCTGCGCAGCCGCAAAGGATCGTGTAGACGTGGAGGAAATCAGGCAAAGCTGCAAGGCAAAATGCGGCCATGCAGCAAATAGTGGGAAACTGACACATGCGATCGGGGTAAAGGGAAGAGCGAGAGCAGAGCAACGGCTTGTGGGAAATCGGTCAGTGTGTGCAATATTTCTTTACATAGCAGATAGTTAGTGGTGGCTTTCGAAGGGGATTAGACAAATTCATGAAAGAGCTGTTAATCTTGAGGCCAAAATGGGACCTGCCAGGTCCACAGACTACTGGTGCGAATGGGCAAAGAGTAGGGGGTGTGTCTTGTCCATATTGGCTTCTCAGTTCTCCGGAGAAAGAATGTTATTGTAGATGGAGTTTTGGTCTGGTCAGGTAGGTTCTGCTTGTGTTCTTTACTTCTGTAGCGAGGCCTTTCATTTGCTCTGTGTCAAGGGAAGCATCACTTAAGACAACTTAGTTTTTGGATAAGAAGTCAGTGATGGTGGTGCTGAAATGATACAGTGATAAATCACTCTGTGTGTGTTTGTGAACCAGGACAGTGGAAAGTGAAGACGGGCGGAAAAGGTACCTCGTCTTTCCCACCAGCAAGACCCACGGCTCGAGTCAGAAGGGGAGGAAAGCAGCGCTGAAAGGCAACGGCAGGCGGATTGACTATATGCTTTACACAGAAGAAGGACTGTACCTGGAGTGGAAAGTGGTAAGTGGAAAGCAGAGGATGGATTGACCATTTAACTTACAGGGGAAGTTTTTGGATGGCCCCTGACTTGGAAGGCCACTCACTACAGGCTGCCTGAAACAAACAGAGCCAACCCCCCCCCCAGCGATTTTGCCAGTTCTGCAGGGTCTACTTGCTCAGACCCTTCAGTAGCAGCAATGCCCAGTTGGTGGCAGTGCGGGAAGCAGCAACAGGTGGGAAAGAACAACTGCTGGCTAGATCTGAGCTGAATTGCCCCTACAGCCCTGGCTCAGGCTATCACAGAGCCTGTTCAATTTGGCTTACTCTTGGGCCATTATAGCTTCCTGGCCCATCCCTGGATGAAGGTCTCAGGCAGGTGTCACACAGGCTGAAATTTTTCAATGTGCAAAATACTGGTGGCTTTTAGAAACGTCAGGAAATGGGTTGCGGTTGATATGATGAAATGACGTTTCACCTCAGTATCTGTGAAAGGACTTGCTACTTTTCTTTGGGAATGCTAAGTTTGCTGTCTGTGAATGCTCAGAGGTTAAGCTCAAGTAGCCCTGACAAGGAGTCGGTTAAAAGAAAGAGCTAGCTCTCCTCCCCCCTCAATTCCTTGTCAGGGCAGTTTGAGCTTAACCTCTGAGCACTGACAGAGTGCCAACAAAGAAAAGTGGCAAATCGTTGCACAGATACTGAGGTGAAATACCATTTTGTCGCAGTTAGCAGATGCAGTGGCAGGGTTCAGATATGCCAGCAAACCTGGTGAGCAAACTTTGGGCTCATGTCTTGCCTTCTTCATTTTGCTCTTGGACACTAATTAGAGACTGCTGGGTTCCTCATGCATCCCTGGATGTCTCTTTTTGTCTGCTTAGAGTCAATCACCCTGCTGTGTCATTTTATATAATTATCACTTGTAAACCACCTTAAAGTCATTATAATGAATAAGCAGGATATCTAGCCTGGTAGCCAGAGAGGTTCTGGTGGCCAGGGTGCAAATGGAGAAAGCTCTGTGTCCCAGCTGATGTGTGAATGGGTTTCTGCAGTGCTGCAGAAGTGAGGTTTCATGGGGAACATGCAGCCGTTGTCTGACCGCATGTCCCCGTGGGGTCCCTGAGTTAAATGTGATGTCTGGGACCTGGGTTGGGCCCAGATCCCGGGCATGCTGCTCAGTACCCATCTGGGCCATTATCTGGCCTGGATTCCAATTTTCAAGGAAAAATGGGCAGGCTGGATTTTGCCTTGTCATTAAGCAAGGAACAAATCCACTGCTGCCTCCAATGATTCTAGCCAATGAAAGGAGTTAAAGCCATGATTGACATGCTTGCTAACAGTTCTTGGTGACATGCTATTTTCTAAGAAGAAAACAGAAGCTTATCCCAGTGTGAACATGCACACCCCCAGTGTGCCCGGCATCATAACAGTGTTCCTTCTAAGCTGAGTCGGTGTGAGCCAGCTCACAGTTTTTTAGGCTCCAGCTCACACATTTTTGTCTCAGCTCAGAAAAGATGGCTCCAGCTCAGAGCAAATTGATTGATGCAGTAGCAAAATCGCTCCGTCACAACTTTAAGGCCAGTAGCTCACAAAGAAGAATTTTTGCTCACAAGACTCCACAGCTTAGAGGGAACCTTGGTGGTCAGGCAAAGAACATTTATCCTGATCTTTCCCAACTGTTTGTGATAGATGTCAGGAGGAGAAACGATGCCACCATGGTTGTACTTGAGGCTGCATCTGCACAAAAAGGATTCTCTGTTTTGGAGTCATACCTGCTGCAAAAACAGAGCCATGCACCATGCATGGAGTTTCTGCAGGGGAGTTTTCTGTACCCTTCCCTCCATCGGCCACTATTTGCCCTGCATTCCCCCTCCCCCAACTGTACCACCAGAGGGCTTTTGGAGGGCTTTCTTTAAAAAAAAAAAAGGTAATTGCTGTAGCCTTGAACTATAAAGAAAGGGAGGATATAAACATTTTAATTAATTAATTTAGTAATTATAGTGCTGTAGCAACTACTGTGGTTTTTAACGCCCTTCAAAAGCCTCATGGTGGCTTTAGGGGGTGAGAAACGGAAGCTCAGAGGGGATGATGGGAGCCTTGGGAGGAAAATGGTGCTGTGGGCAGGATAGGGTTGCCAGCCTCCAGGTGGGGCCTGGAGATCTCTCGGAATTACAGCGGGTCTCCGAATGACAAAGACCTGTTCCCCTGGAGGAAAAGGGCTGCTTTGGAGGGTGGGCTGTATGGAATCGCATCCTTGCTGAGCTCCCTTCCTTCCTTAAATTAAATTTGGCAGTGCCTTTTTGAATAACAGGCTGTCTGTAAGTGGCTAAGATGCTGAACTGCAGACTGGAAGGTCGGTAGTTCAGAAGTTTGAGACCCGAGTGCCACACGATGGAGTGAGCTCCTGTCTCTGGTCCCAGCTCCTGCCAACCTAGCAGTTCGAAAGCAAGAAATTGCAAGTACTGGTAGATAAATAGGTACTGCTACGGTGGGAAGGTAACAGCATTCTGTGTGCCTCAGCGTTTAGTCATGCCGGCCACATGACCATGGAAACGTCTCTGGACAGCGCTGGCTCTTCAGCTTGGAAACGGAGATGAGCACTGCATCCCTAGCGTCGGATTCAACTGGCTTTCGAGCAAGGGAAACCTTTACCTTTACCTAATTGACTCCTGGCTCAATCTTTTTATTTCAACTGAAGCACCAAATAGCGGGCATTCTGATTTCTGGATCCTCAGCAAAGTGGATTTTGTATAGGGTTTCCAGCCCCTTACTGGAGGCAGGGAGTCCCCTTTCCCAGGCCCCGCCCCCTGCTGTCAATAAGCTGGGCAGGGGGGGGACTTACCAGGAGCAGGAGGGAGGCCGAGTGTGCACTAGAAGTGATGGTATCATGTCAGTGACATCTGGGCAACACTCGGGTATTTGGGCAAAACTCTGTGGTAGAAGCCATTTTTGTTTTAGAGTTTTTTGCCCCAAATACCAGAGTGTCACCAGGGTGTCCCAACGTATTGGCATCACTTCCATACACGTCAAAAGTGACATTGCCACATTGCTGGTGACATAGCCTGGGCCGCTCTCCCACTCCTGGTAAGTCCACACACACACACACACCCGGTCCCCTGCCAGTTGCCAGGATTTGTACATCCGTTTTGCTTCTGCCTCTGTGAAAGGCCAGCTTAAACCAGAAAGTGGGGAAATGGCCCTCCTCATATGTCAGCCTCTACTGGGCCTAAAAAGCCTTTCCTATATCGTTTCTCTGCAGGAAGTGGAAGAGTTCAGCTTTATTACCCAGTTAGCAGGCCTGACAGATCACCTGCCCGTCGCCATGCGCCTGATGGTCTCCACAGGAGAGGAGGATCCTTAAAGAAGGACCGTTTCCAAGGATTTAGAAGAGGGAACTTCCAAACTTGTGACCAAGATGCAGGTCAAAGAATGACGTTTCCTGGCACCCACCCTTCCCCACAAGACGGACCAGGCCTGACTCAGGCTCCCCGGCAGCCATGACTCCGCCTGCTTTTGACATTCCTCACCATTCACGACCAAGGCAGGAGGAAGTTAAAAAGGGAAGGCACGAGTGGATGGGAGGGGGTGTTTGGGAGGTGAGGGGGCCAAGCCACAGACAAGCATCGCAAGTTGCCCAGGCCACCGGGCAGGCCTGTATTTCTATAACTTTCACTGTGGACTGAAAGGAACCAAGCTAGAAGTCCCGATTCCTTCTGAACCAGTGCCATTCTTACTAAATTCTTCTTTTTTTATATACTTATATATAGCACAAATTTAGTTTGTAATCCGTCTCTGTGTTAGTGCGGCTCCGGAAGTGAGCTTTTTTGGCATCATTTCTTTATATATCCTTAACGAGCTAAATGCTTAATTTCTCTTTTTAATTTTGTAGCCTGTTAATGTCGTAGTAGCATGCCTGCATCAGAAGCATGCATCCGCGTTGCATGCCGCTCCCTTTGGGGACAGAAGGGTCAGGGAGGGGAGGGGAGGGGAGGAATACAAGGACCGCCATGAGAAGTCAGAATCCAAGCTACCCAGGTGACAGCACTCCGGAACTTAGAATTCAACTTCTGTATTCAATTTCTTCTAGAGGAGATATGTCCTGTTTGTAAAATAGCAGAGTATTTCCTGCGGGCTCTCCATTGAAACTGTAAAGCTGAAACTTAATACATTTTAGTGCAGTCCCAGCTGGCGTCAGCATGCGCCGAAGTGGGTCATCTGCCTGGGGGCCAGGGTCTCGGGGGGGGCACTGCTGCCAACAGGGTTGCCAGCTCTGGGTTGAGAAACACCTGGAGATTTGAGGGGTGGAGCCTGAGGAGGGCGGGGTTTGGGGAGGGGAGGGGAGGGACTTCAATGGGGTGTAATGCCGTAGAGTCCACCTTCCAAAGTGGACATTTTCTCCAGGTGAACTGATCTCTGCCACTTGGAGTCATTATAGTGTGAGATCTCCATCCACCACCAGGACGTTTGGCAACCCTATGGTGTTGACTCCACTCATTCACTTGCTTGTGCTGTGTCACCCATGGTCCCAGCTGTGTGCACTGCTTAGTGCCATCGTGGAAAGGGCTGCAGGCAGCTGTGAGCATGGCCACTGGGAGGGATCTTGGGGTTGCTAGACCCCCGGTGGAGACCCCCCCTGCCAGGCCCCACCACCCCACTGCTGATCAGATGGCCTTGGGGGTAACATACCCCCCCAAAAAAAGAGGGAGATCTCTCCGACATGCAGTGATGTGTCTACATCACTGCCCATGTGACCTGGAAGGGACATCACCACGTCTGAGGTGTCGGGGTGATGCTCTGGTATTTGGGCAAAAACTCTATGGTAGAAACCAAATTTACCATAGAGTTTTTGCCCAAATACCAGAGCATTGCCCTGATGTCCCGGAAGTGATGATGTCACTTCCAGGTCACATGGTCAGTGACGTAGACTCATTGCTGCATGGAAGATGGGCCTCCCTGCTGCTCCCAGTAAGTCCCTCCCATGCTCCCCCAGTTGCCAGGAGGGACCTGGCAACCCTAGAGGGCTCTCAAGCAGGTGGTGGAAGGACACACAGCTAGGTAGGAAACGTGCAAGTGCATGGGAGGGAAGGAGGGCCTGATGGAGGGCAGAAGAAAGGAATGGTACCCTGGGAACGCCCTGTCTAAGCCCCCCCCCAACCTGGAAGGAGCCATACATACAGTGCACACCCATCTGCTACAAATGAAATCACCAAGATCCAGTTTATATCTGCAGCTGATGCAAGTAGCAAAGGTTTTCCTGCACTGTACCACTTATGCTGGAAGGTTATGGGGTTTCAAAGGTGTCTTCTCTCACTTAACATTTGGCCTCCCTAGACCAACATTGTCTACTATGACTGGCAGCTGGGTGCCTAGATACAAACCCCATCAAGACAACAACTTGCAGTTTGAAGTGCACAGTCTAGCCAATTCCTAGACAGTTATTACATGGTATAAACTGGCCTTAGACCTACTAAATACACTGCTGGGGAGGGAACAATGTTTCCAGTTCCCTGGGGCTGAATCCCTCGTGAGTCCAATTACATTCGGCTGAAGAATCTCAGTGCAATAGATGAATGGATGGCCAGCACTGGTAACCGTCACGACAGCTGAGAAGCCTCTGCTATGCAGTGCACGAGAGTCCATTGCTCAGGTATAACCTGAGCACTTGTGGGATCCAGCCACAGGAAAGTGGCAAGGCCTCCAGCAATATCTGAATTAGGCCTCCTCAACACAGAGGAGAAGTAAGAGAGTAACATGAGGAAGAGAAAGGTGGTGGAGACCCTCTCCTAAACCAAATGATGGTGACCCACTGGGTACCTTCAGATGCCATCAAGGCATGGGACAAGGATGGGTTTCTCTGCCTAAAGTGGACCAAGCTTCATCCCTCTACCTGTAAGAACACCACAAGTGTGCAAAATGGAAGCATTGGGATGCGCTAGTCCCCCAGATGTTGGGTCTTGTTTTGGGCAGATGTTTATGCCCGGGGCATCACATGCAAGAGCACAGCTGTACCAGCATAAAGCAGACTCCACTGAGGACTGTCCCTCATTGCTAGATTCCCCGCCGACACAGGGTGGTCCATACCTAACTGCGGGAACATCAGAACTTCTTTTTGTGTTCTCCCAATGGGTTGTCACAATACTGCTCTGGTAGCAGTCAGACGTAAGGACTGGGCATGTGGGCTAGGCATCATTAGCGTGAGAAGGAATTATGTCATCGGTCCTCACCACATGGTTGCTACATTCACTGGAGGAGCAGGAGAATCAGTATAGGAGAGGGGGTTCCTACACTGTACAGGTGGCAATGGAACTGGTTGTGCAGGATAGCACATCAAACATAGAGTTATGTTGTGGAAGCAATGCCTGCTGCTTCAAGAACAGGAAGCTCTTTTGCTTACAGAGAGCCAGTTTGGTGTAGTGGTTAAGTGCGTGGACTCTAATCTGGGAGAACCGGGTTTGATTCCCCACTCCTCCACTTGCACCTGGCTAGATGACCTTGGGTAAGCCATAATTCTGGCACAGCTGTTCCTGAAAAAAAAGCAGTTTCTGTCCAGAGTTCTCTCATCCCCACCTACCTCACAGGGTGTCTATTGTGGGGAGGGGAAGGGAAAGGAGTTTGTAAGCCGCTCTGAGACTCCTTTGGGTAGTGAAGGGCAGGGTATAAATCCAATCTCCTCTTCTTCATCATCTTCTTCTTCTTTTTCTTCTTCTTCCCATTCCACATTTATTTGATGGGAAACTCTTCCTTAGGGGCATGATTAGAGGGTTTATATGGTTCCAGCATTGCACCAGATACAGTGATCTGCCTCTTCCAGAAACAAAGGATTGCAGTGAAGGAAAGGCGTTACAACATCAGCACATGGATAGAAACTGACTGGCAGGGGGGGAAAGATTTCTGGAGAAACAAATGCAGTGGGAGTATAACTCAGTCCATTGAGAAGGGCATGCTGGGAAGGACAGTTGTAAAGGGATTATCTGCACTCTGGAAATGCTTTGGCAGAGCAGCTTGGGAACTGGGATTGGGTTAGGGAATCCAGCCGTACCAGAAAATGAAGCCAAGGATGGTGGCTAAATCCTGCAGTCCTTGTGTAGAAGGGCCCCCTTTCTCTCCTTGTGCCGTGGGTGTGGCCCCAAATCCAAATCAGGCTTCTGCGGTGCCTGTGAAACACAGAATTTCTGAACATGCCTCTCTACCCAACCTGTAGACATCCCTGGGGGAAATGTAACGTGCAGTTAAGATATGCCACCACTTGGTTTTGTTACGAGAGCCACTTATCAAAATCAGCTGGGGGGGATAGATGAGTTGGGCCCCAAAACCTGGGTCTCCAGACCTCTGAAAAACAGTGGGGGGCACACTTTGGGAGAGGGGCATGGGAGGAGTGCGTCGTCATTTCTTGCTGCTTTCCACCCCCACCCTGCGCACATTTCTCCCCCAGTTGTTTTTTCTCCCCTTCCCCCCCCAAGACAAAAACACATCTAGCAACTGGGTTGAGAAATATGGCTCTGGAGGAGAGTTCAGGGAGGGGAGTTTGGAGTTCCACATCCTCCCCCTCTCTCAGCTTTTATGCTTCCAATCGCACCTGCAGAAACCTAGTTTGGTTTGCAGCTTACTAACCATGCTGTACCTGACCTGGCGGTGGCTTGCGGCCACCAGCTCCTGGGAAGTTAGAACAAGCCCTCCCTTCGGCCAGAGCAGGATTTTGTTTTCAGAGGTAAAGATGTAGGCTTAGATCTTATGCCTCTTATGCCTCTGTTCCACCAAATCTTCCTCCAATAGAGGAAGAGTTTTCTTCATCCAAGGAAGGCTTTCTCTATCAGGAAACCCCCCCCCCAAAAAACTCTCCATTGGAGGAAGGCTTGAAGGAACACTTAGCCTAGGATCCAGTTTAGCAGAAGGGAGTTATAGGATCCATCCTGCCATGCAACCTTATCTCCACTAACTTTCTCTACCTGTGCACAAAGCAAAGCATTCATTAGCCTATAGACCCAGCCAAATCTGAGAGTTTAAAAAGAAAAATCTGAAGCCTTGCTTCTGTTTTATATCTTGCTTGTATTTTATTTCCATTTTTTTAAAAAAGCAGTATGAATTACAATGTATGTCAGCAGCAGACCACCATCTCTGCCTAGAACTTCTACCACTCGTAGTAATATTAACTCAAGGTGCAGTATTTTAATAGCTTTTCTAACCATGTAAATTACAGTTGGTTCGCTGCATTCTCTAAGAGCCCCCCAGGAGCTCCAGTAGACATACTGTGTGGGATAGAAGTAAAACTGTACAGATGACTGCCAAACAGTACTATATTATTTACAGTAAAAACAAGCAACTAATGGCTGTCTAAATTCCTTTTTGTTCAACGTTCTGTGA